GGCAGCCCTGTACCGGTTTACTCCAAGACGGTACAATAATGTCTTAAACAGCTTAAAACGGATAATGTGAAATTCCCCTATATTTTAAGCATTCAAAGTGATGACATGGACATTGCCATAAGACTGTGAGTACTTTTCTGGTGTGGGGCATTCGAATCTACATGAATGTATTAGGATTTAGAACTGAGATCACTTATTAGCCTGAAAGGGGAAGAGAGGACATGCTTAAAGCACATGTTCTTTCTGGAAATTTTTTTTCCAGAAAGAACATCTAACACGTGCTCCAGGAGCCTGCCATAACCTGAATACCTATGACCCTGTTATGGGACTGGTGCCAAGTGGTTAGACACCTGTATCAGGGCATGCTTATCAAGAACAAATTAAAATGCCTGGGAAGCCTTGCATATGTAAGTAACTGTGGTGAAGCCTTTTAATGCCCTTCCGTCAAATACCACATACCTTTTTGAGAGGAGGGGAGCAGGGATTAAAGATGGGAGACATTTCCAACAAAATTGATACAGCTGTAGGTCACGGGTACAAAAGAATGTGAGATTGTCTAGGAGAAGCCTATTATGAGGACAATGTCACGCTCTAAAGGTGAATTTGTACATTAGGTTTTGCCTAACCTAGATAATCTCAGTGCATAAAAATGCAAGTGATTCCGCAGATTTGGCAAACCACACATTTTCTTACATGGAAATTCTTTATCTGAAGAGGGAAAAAATGTAAAACAGCAGGCAGGGATCTTGAAAAACCTGTTGCCATGGAAGTGTCTTGCTAGAGTAGCCCAGCTGGATACACAAAGATACTAAAGCTGCAGACACTCCAGAGTACCAGAGAAGATTTGTGCAAATAAAAAGGCACTCACACAAACAAAAAGACTGAAGGGATTAAGCTATGACTTACCTCATGGGTTTGTTGTGAGGCTTAATGGAGAAGGGGGAACGATGTGTGGTATACAGAGAGAGCTAGGGACAGGCCACGCCCCAGGTTTTACCTTGAGCTACAACTGCTTTTGATAGCAGAAATTCAGGCCCTAATAACGTTCTGGGACCCTAATACCTATGGGACTGTAACCCCCTCACCCCCTTTAGTCAGCATCTGGGTCCCTCTTGCAGGTGCTTGGCCCAGCCCATGATGGCAGAGTTAACTATCACCAGGGGAACGGCCTTCTCAGTTGTGGCCCTACCTTGTCCAGTGCACTCGGATACCCATGTCCTGTTGGACTTGTTTAGTTTCCACAGGGCATGCAAAGCTGAATTGTTTAGAGGGTTTGGAGGGCCTTTGGAGGGTAACCATGTTTGGGTTTTTTAAATTGTGGCATGGTGACAGCCACACATTTTAATAATTTAAATAATAATTACAGCTGGTACAAAATGCAGCGGCACGCCTGCTGACATCAACACCTGTGCGGGCTCACGTTCGGCATGTGCTTTGCCAGCTGCACTGGTTACCAGTTGAGTACCGGATCCGCTTCAAGGTGTTGGTAATAACCTTCAAAGCCTTATACGGCCTGGGACCAACGTATCTAAGGGACTGCCTCTTCCCATATGTGCCTCAAAGAGCATTACACTCTAGTAATCAACATCTCCTGGTGGTCCCTGGCCCAAAATACGTCCATTTAGCCTCGACCAGGGCCAGGGCCTTTTCTGCCCTGGCCCCCAACCTGGTGGAACATACCCCGCATCGAGATCAGGGCCCTGCGGGATCTTACTCAATTCCGCAGGGCCTTCAAGATGGAGCTGTTCCGCCAGGCTTTTGGTTGAGGCAGTGGGTGTCCACATATGGCTTCCCAGAGGTTGCTGTCTCCTACCTACTGGCCACCCATCTGCCAGCGACCGGCCATAACAATCACTATTAATGGGTCAGAATTTGCACCAGTAGCTATAACTATTGATTTTAAATGCTTATAATGGGAAAAGGGTAAAAGTCGGATCTACCTCATGAATTCATATGATTTTTACATTGAAATGAAATAAAACCACCATCATATTGTAGGCCATGTGTTAGTCTATAGGGGACACCACAAAAATCATGCTCCCACAGATTCGTGGCACCACTACACCGCAAAAACATGATTCCAAAGGATGGAGCCTCATGAATTCATATGATTTCTACGCTGGAATGAAATAAAACCAACATCATAGTGTAGACCATGTCTTAGACTATAGGAAGCACTACAAAAATCATGCCCCCACGAATTTGTGGGACCACAAAACTGCAAAAACATGGGTTTGGAGCATGGATCCTCATGGATCCTCAGGGTTTTTCAACTGGGACACCCCAAACACACCATCAAATCACATAACACATCCACGTCCACAGCTTGCACCATAAAAAATCACAGATCCACGGCTTCGTGGTGACAGCATTCTGCAAAAACATGATTCTGAAGCACGGATCCTCATGGATGCTTGGGTTTTTTGTATCGGAACACCCCAAACAAAAAATTAAATCCCATATCATGCCCATGGCCACAGACTGCACCACAGAAATCACAGTGCCACGGGTTCGTGGCAACATCATGCTGCAAAAACATGGTTCCGAAGCGCGGATCCTCAGGTATCCTTATGATTTTTGCATTGGGTCACCAAAACATCACCATCAAATCACAAATCTTGTCCATGGCCACAGAATGCACCACAGAAATCATGTCTTCATGGCTTAGTGGTGACACCATGCTGCAAAAACATGGTTCTGGAGCATGGATCCTCATGGACACCCCAAACATACTATTAAATCCTATACCATGTCCATGGCCTCTACTTACACCACAGTATTCATGGGTCCCCAGTTTCGTGGCAACACCATGCTGCAAAAACATGGTTCTGAAGCATGGATCCTCAGTATTTCTGCGTTGGGTCACTCAAAACGCACCATGAAATCACATATCATGACCATGACAACAGCTTGAACCATAAAAATCATGAATTCACAGATTCGTGGCAACACCATTCTCCAAAAATATAGTTCTGGAGCACGGATCCTCATGGATCCTCGGGGTTTTTGCAATGGGTCACCCCAAACACAACATCAAATCACATAACATGTCCATGGTCACAGCTTGAACCAGAAAAGTCATGGATCCATGGCTTCGTGGCAACACCATGAAGCCACAACATGGTTTTGAAGCAAGGATCCTCATGGATCCTCAAGGCTTTTGCAATGGGGCACCCCAAACACGCCATCTAATCAAATAACATCTTTATGGCAACAGCTCAAACCACAAGAATAACATTTCTATGGCAACACCATTCTGCAAAAACATGGTTCTGGAGCACGGATCCTCATGGATCCTCAAGGTTTTTGCAATGGGGCACCCCAAACACACCATCTAATCACATAACATGTCCATACCAACGGCTAGAACTGCAAAAATCACGGATCCACAGCTTAGTGGCAACACCATTCTGCAAAAAGATGGATCTGGAGTATGGATCAAATCACATATCATGTCCACAGGATCAGCTTGAACCACAGAAATAATGGATCCACAGTGGTTCAAGCTATTCCCGTGGACATGATATGTGATTAGGCTTTTGCAATGGGGCACCCCAAACACGCCATCTAATCAAATAACATCTTTATGGCAACAGCTCAAACCACAAGAATAACATTTCTATGGCAACACCATTCTGCAAAAACATGGTTCTGGAGCACGGATCCTCATGGATCCTCAAGGTTTTTGCAATGGGGCACCCCAAACACACCATCTAATCACATAACATGTCCATACCAACGGCTAGAACTGCAAAAATCACGGATCCACAGCTTAGTGGCAACACCATTCTGCAAAAAGATGGATCTGGAGTATGGATCAAATCACATATCATGTCCACAGGAGCAACTTGAAACACACCACAGAAATAATGGATCCACAGTGGTTCAAGCTATTCCCGTGGACATGATATGTGATTTGATGTTGTGTTTGGGGTGACCAATTGCAAAACCCTCGAGGATCCACGCTCCAGAACCATGTTTTGGCTTCATGGTGTTGCCACAAAGCTGTGGATCCATGATTTCTATGGTTCAAGCTGTTATTGTGGACATGATATGTGATTTGATGTTGTGTTTGGGGTGACCCTTATGCAATGGCCGCGGCGGGGAGGGGGGCGGGGCGAAACGTTCCTTCGCCTCCCTGAGCCTTGATGGTGGGCTTGGACTTGTAGGGACAAATTCCACCTCTCGCGTGTGATGTCCGCTTGGACATCACACGTGAGAGATCATTCTGGCTCCCCGAGCTCTCCTTGGGGGCTCTTTAAAAAGTTATGGCCGCCGACGCTGTCGGCGTCCGCTGCAATGGCCACGGCGGCAGGGGGGCGGGGTGAAACGTTCATCCGCCTCCCTGAACCTGGGGGGTGGTGGCCTTGGACTCATAGGGGCAAATTCCACTTCTGTCCGAGGTTATTCTGACTCCTGGAGCTCTCCTTGGGGGCTCTTTAAAAAGTTATGGCTGCGGACTCCTAGGGGCAAATTCCACCTCTCCCGTGTGATGCCCGAGCGCCAGTGGCCATAACTTGCTGCTAGAGGTCATTCTGGCTCTCCAGCTCTCCTTGGGGGATCTTTAAAAAGTTATGGCTGCGGACTCCTAGGGGCAAATTCCACCTCTCCCGTGTGATGCCCGAGCGCCAGTGGCCATAACTTGCTGCTAGAGGTCATTCTGGCTCTCCAGCTCTCCTTGGGGGATCTTTAAAAAGTTATGGCAGCTGTGCTGTGGCAGCAGCTGCAATGGCCTTGGGGGCTCCCCAAACTTTCCTTCGCCTCCCTGAGCCCCGGGGTTGGACTCGGGGCAAATTCCACCTCCCAGGTGTGATGTCCCCAGTATACTGGGGAAGGCTTAGGCTTCTGGACTCCAAATCTATCAACGGTAGACAGGGAGAAAAAAATAACAGCGCTACCTAGTCAGAGGCGCAGCTTCCAAATAAAAAACAGCCGGCTTCCCCCCCCCCCCTTTCTTTGTACGCATGCGGAGCTTTTCTTCGGCTGAGTGTATTCACAAGCGCTGAGGAGAACTCGTAACCTCAGCACAGAGAAACGCCAGAAGCCCCGACGCTCCAGAGCAGCCCCGCCACCTCCCTCCCGAGCCGGCCCATGCCTGAGGAAGAAGGGCTGGGCTGAGGCGTGGCTAAGTGGCGCCATCTCCCCGCGCCGGGCGCTCGGAGAGGGGCTGCGATGGTGGCTCGGGTTTGTGCCTGGGCTCTGCGACCCACAGTCGTCTGCGGAGGCGGTACGGGGAGGAGGGCAGCCCTGCGATGGCTTTCTCCGTCCTGGGGAGGAGCCGTGAACTCGCGTTTCTCCGGTCGCTTTCGGGTAAGTGACGCGCGGAGAGCCATATTTAATCTGGGACTTTTGTGGATGGGCGGGAGGAAAGACTTTCAGAGGGGCAGGAAGATGCCATTGTCGGGAGGGATTGATTCCATGGCCCTCCCTGTCACGGTGCCCCTTGGCTGTTTCCTAGATAGGTTTCCTTGGACCTGGGAGCAAATGAAGAGAACTGGAGACTCTTTTTGATAGCTGGGCTATATTGCAGTTATGCTGGGTCGGTCCCCAAGCAAGCAACAAAAGCAGCAATAAAATAGTTAATGAGCGTAGAAGGGCTTCTCCTGTTCTCGTTTACCGTTGCTACGTCCAGGGACCATTTATCCTATTGACAACCCTGTGAGGCATGCTGCTCTTAGAGGGAGTGATTGGATCGTGGTTACTTGCTGAGTTTCCTGGCTGACTGTAAATTGAACTCATATTTTCACAGCCCCAGACTGATACTTTAACTGGTCCTCTGTAATTCCTCATTCTGTACTGCTCTTAAATCTATAAAGTATTATCTGGGTATGAACCTTGAGACAAACACAATCCTGGCCCTGCTTCAGAGCACTTGACACTTCAGAACACTTGTGGAAGTAATGCTGAAGTGTTTCATTATTGTAACAAAAAAGCTTTGGTTTTTATAGGGCTGCCAGCTCTGGGTTGGGAAATTCCTGGAGATTTGGGGATGAAGCCTGGGGAGAGCAGGATTTGGGGAAGGGAAGGACTTCAGCAGGAAAAATAATACCATAGCGTCTGACTTTTGAAGCAGCTGTTTTATCCAGGGAACTGATCTCTACAGTTAGGAGATCTCCAGGATTCTTACCTGGAGGCTGGTAGCCAAACTTTTAGATAATGCATAGCCCATGCAATATTTAGACCTTAGTAATTTGACATATAATATTTTAGTGTACTGGGCATTCATACACACAACCTTGGGGGGTGGAGTCAAAAAACTTTCTGTTCCAGTGCATTGTTTCTAGAATCCTGCTCTTACGTTTTGTTTTGGTATACCGTGTTCATCTTGATTTACAAGCATATACAAACAGTGATACCATGTGCAGCAGCAGTCTTGCTAAGATCTAACCAAGGCCAGGTAGTTTTCTATAACCTTGGTAAGGGCTCAGTCATGTGATATCTTATTTTGCAAGATTTGAGCATTTTTAAAAGAAATGCAAAACAATGAATTAATAACCAATTAATTTATCTTTTTAAAAGTCATCTGATATGAATGATGCGCTCCGAAAAGATGAACGGAACAAAATCATGTCTAGAGGATTACCAAAACAAAAGCCAATTGAAGGAGTTAAGCAAGTGTTAGTAATAGCTTCTGGAAAAGGAGGTGTTGGAAAATCAACAACTGCAGGTAAGTCTCCTTTATTGATTATGTTGTTCCTGTTTTGCCTGTAGATTATTAGATTGCACACCTTTATTTCTTTTTAAAATATAGTTGCATGACAGCAAATATGTTTGAATATGGTGAATTAAAAGAAGTACATTTTGTATGTTCTTATCTGTGCAATAACAACTTCAGACTTATTAAGTTCTGTAAGCTTTTCCTACATCTAATCAGCACTTTAGTATATATGCTGTTTTAGCAAAATCAGTTTGAACCTGGCATAGTTTGGGATGGCTTCTGGATTATGTATACAAACTCGGGTTGTCAGGTCCCTCCTGGCATCCTGTGGGGGATGGGGGGACTTACCGAGAGGGAGGTCTTGGCGCCAACGATGTCAGTTCGAGCATGTGCCAGAAGTGACATCATCACACTGTGTGACATCAGGGCAATGCTCTGGTATTTGGGCAAAAACTCTGTGGTAAAAATGGCTTCAGCCATAGAATTTTTGCCCAAATACCAGAGTATTGCCTGAACATTGCCAATGTGATGCTGAAAGTGACCTTGCCATATCACCAGTGATGTAGCCTGGACCTCCCCCTCTCTCCTGGTAAGTCTCCCTGCTGGCTATCTGATTGGCAGCAAAAGGGTGGGGTCTGCCGGTGGGGAACCCCCATCTCCATGGGGGGGGCTGGCTTGCACCCCTAATGCAAACTTGAAACTGAGTGGAGTTAACGAGATTGCAGTTCTAAGGATGGTTTCATGGAACAAAAGGGTACTTACTTCAAAGCAGAAATGTTTAGGCTTGCTCCTAGAGTTATTCCGAGAAGAGAGCTGATTTAATTGATTTAAATTGGTCCACAAATTTTCAGAACTGTTTGGATTTCAGTGTTTACTTTATTATACAAACAAAAATAATAGTCAACAGTTTGGGTTTTTTTGTTTATGCAACAGAAAGGTTTTCGTTTTGGAGGGATTGCATTGTGAGAGGGCATAACCACATTTAAGCAGTTTCTTCTTTGTCACAAGTTGAATTTTGTAGTCTCCATGTTAGTTTAAGAACTACTCACTAGCCTTTTCTAGTTAAAGTAACTTGTGTGTCAGGCTGTGATTATATTTTCTTATGAGTTTACAGATCTGTCACATTGTATTTGAAATGAAAGCAGCACTTCAACTCTGAGGATATTTAAATAAACATTTTTTCCTGATGTTTGTGTACTGAAAAGAATAGATTAAGACTGCAGTCCTGAACTATGGATTTAGAAGGGTATAACTGTTTAGGATTGTGCTAAAACCCAGATCCACACTTTTAGTTCATTTTCTGTGGTGCCAAAACATGAAAAGGTGGATTGTTAAATAAAAAGTAATAAAAGAGATACAATTTTGGGATCTTCATAAATTTTATTTCCTTATTATCAGGGGTGAGGGTTTTTTTTAAAAAAAGAGGAGCTGGAACTCTCAAGAGGGAAAGAAGTTTTTAATCTGCATTATGAAAATTCGTGAACTTTTAAACATTTTTAAAAGAATTTTGTCGAAGAGGTTCTGGAACTATGTTCCAGTGTGTTCCCCCAGAAAAAAAAGCCCTGCTCATAATAATATTCACCTTTCTGTGGTTGCTTAAAATTAGAACTGTTCAGCAAGCATATTTTTTCATGCAAAACTTTATGCCTTGTATTGTATCTTGACATCCTTGTAAAATCAATCTGTTTATTCTACTGCAGTGGGATAGGCTAGCTGCAGTAATGACTATTTATCAATATATGGGTACACATTATATGATCCATGCACCTGTCAGTTCGTTAGGATTGTTTTCCGTGAATGAAAGGGCTGTACCTATAGTATATTCAGATAACATAACAAAGATACAGCTTCAATATACGTACATGAACTAGTACATTGGAATAGCGGTCTTTCTAAAATACACTGTGTATGTAAACACACCGAGTACATTAGACTTGTGCATTTATTTTGTTATGAATGACAAAAATGGGATGTTTCATAATTAATGGGGCATTTTGTTAGCCTGTAACAAAAAACACCATAATTTTATTTCATTTTGTTTTCTTTCATTATTGCTGTTGCCTTTCTCTCTAGCCACGTGGCTTACATACATGTAGTCTATGGAGTGGGATATGGCTATGTCCAGTTTGGATGGGGGTTTCAGTTTCAGTAGAACTGATGGAAAATAATAGCAACATAGACTTATGAAAACAAAATAACAATAAAGAAACAATAATAAAACAAATCCATGCAAAACAACCCAACAGTGTAACAGTATTCTTTGTAAAGAATTTGGAAAACTAAAGAAACTAAACAAATTCCCATGCACAAGTATAGAATACGTTCATATTGTTACTATGTATGGTTTGAAAGACACGTGTGTACTAAGTATAAGTTCTGCATTAGGGTTGCCAACTGATACTGGCACTCCAGTGGGAGTATTTGGGGGATTGGGACAAAATATTCGATGTTGCTCTGATTCATGATGTCACTTCTGGCATGAAACTTTAAGTGACATCATTGTGATAAGGTGATAAAAGGTGAATCCTAGAGCCTCGCCTTGAAGCAGTGATGTCATTGCTGGTTTTGTGCCAGAAGTGACATGGCACATTGCTGTGATCCTAGATCACCCCCCCCCCCGCATTCTGATGCAGTGGTAGGGAGTGGGGTTTAAGGCTGGAAGAGTGGGAGACCAGGGCAGCCTAATCTGAATAAGTCCTGTTGCTTAACTGGGTCTAAATTCAAACTATTTGAAGTTGCACATAAGAGAGAAACCCATCTCTTGCTCCTTTTCTGTGGGATTTGCTGCTTTTTAGCACTTGGCATAACAGCGATGATGGCAGACAAACACTTTTAAAGGGTTGTTTAAACAAAGGGATGAAGCTGCTAGTCAAGTTGGAATAGATCAGTGAGAATCCAGAATGTTGTAATGGATAGTGTTTTATTGAGCAGGAATAAAAATACACTCATGCAGCCAGAACAATATTAAAGTATGCATATAGCACCAGGTACCAGAATGCTTGCAATAAGGTAAGGATACTGATTACCCTGTGTAAATTCATGATAGAAGTTTAGGGAGACAGGCAAGGAATGGGTAACAGGAAAAGCAGAGGATTAGATTACCTGTCCAGAATGAAGAAGTTTCTTTGGTTAGAAGGGCTTCAGAACTATATAATATGGGAGGTCTAGAGTTCTCTGGTAAGAGTTTATGAAAGCTATGAGGTGACCTGAGCAAGGGTTTTGGTCTAGAAAAATCTGAAGGGAAGAGATCTAGGCAGGAGTCTGGAGGGAGCGCATGGATGGGAGTGGCCATGTGAAGAGGACAGAACACCGCAAGAAAACTGAAGGCTCAGAGTATCCAGTATAACCAGAACACCTGAAAATCCAATTTTGGAATATATTCGGGGGGTGGTAGGGATGATGTGTATACTTGTGCAGCTGCTGTCTATTTTAAAATGTGTTTCCCCGTTGTGATGATGTCACTTCCGTGTGATGTCATCACATTGGAGATGTTGCATGTGGTGTCATCGCCCTGACCCCCCACTCCCAGAAAACTCCTTCACACTCCCAGCTGGTGAGAACAAAGGATCTGGCAACCCTAAAAAAGGACATTGCAGAGCAGAAAAGGTACAGAATAGGGCAACCAAGATGATTAGGGGGTTGGATCAGCCTTCCCTATGAGGAAAGGCTGAAGAGTCTGGGACTTCCAAGTTTAGAAGAGATGATTAAGGGGGGACATGATAAGAGGTTTATAAAATTATGCATGGAATGGAGAGAGTTGACAAAGAGAAATTCCTCTCTCTCTCTCAAGAAAAACTAGAACTGAAGGGCATCCAGTGATGCTGATGGGCAGTAGGTTCAGGACAGACCAAAGGAAACACTACTTTACATAGAGAGTGATTAAAATATGGAATTTGCTGCCAGAAGTGGTGATGGCCAGAGGAATAACAGGTTTTAAAAGGAGATTAGGTAGATTAATGAAGGATAAGTCTCAATGGCTACTAACAATGGTGACTGAGGGGAACCTCCACATTCATAGGCACTAAAACCTCTGAATCCCAGAGCCAGGAGGCAACATCAGAGGAAGGCCTCTGCCTTGTTGTTGACTGTCCAGTGGAACTGGTTGGCTACTGTGTGAGACTGGACTAGATGGACCATTGTTAAGGTCCAGCAGGGCTCTTCTTGTGTTCTTAAAGTTACTATTCTAGCAATTAGACACTTTATTTAGCCTTTTACTAAAAAGGCACTGTGGTGTCCGATATATACTAAACATATTTTTTTGCTGAATGAGTCACAGCTTGAGATCCACAGAAACAGCTGGTATAAAGTTTAAAACCATATTCCATTGCTTTGACATAACAGGATGATCTGTCCCTTTATTCCATTCATTCCTAAGTCTCTGCATATTGTTTTCTGTTCTACTGCCAGTTTAGCAGCAGTAAGACCAAGAACAATTCTACTCCTGAATGGCCAACATGTTCTTTTATATAACTCGGCAGAATAACTGTTGAATCAAGGCATGTATTACAGTCCAATATTTAATTAACAAACTGAATTATGAATGTCTAAAAGGACTGTATTTTTAATGTGACAAAAAGTTAAAATTCTGCCATAGACAAGCCACACCACTAACATTGATACCATATATTTATACACACACACTCACAGAAATGTTAGGTATTGCAGAATTCCAAATCCACTTCCATTCTTCTAAATCAGTATTGATTTTTAAAGTACTTTTCCATTTTGTAAAGTAACTTAAGAAGCACTTTCTAGGTTTACTATGAAGAAACAGATTTTAGTAATTAAACAAGTAGGTAGCTGATAAGTGTAATTATAAACTCAAAGGCTGCTTTTGCTCTTAAACCACTATTATTCCTCAATAGCATGTTTTACAAATGTCTGCTCTGAAATAACAGTGGTCTATCCACTGATTTTGAAACTAGGAGGTTAGGTGATTGTATGGATTGGTGACTGATTTTTTAAAAAAATAAGTACAATATAGGAAAATAGCGCATGGACTCATTTGGAATTTTTAGAGGAGGTAGTGAGTGCCCCCTAATTAGGGTTGCCAAGTACTTTTTGAGCCACAGCGGGGGACTCCCGGCTGGCGGCTGGAGTGCGTGGAGTTTTCCCTCGGATGACTATGGCCCCGCCCCCAGCGTGCCCGGCGTGGTTGCGTCACTTCCGGGTGACGTGCATGTCGGGGTGGGGTTCCCCCTGGGGCCTGATCCGCCGGCGGCGAGGAACGGACCTCTGGGGCGGGGTTTTCCATAGGAGGTACAGCCAAATCCAAAATGGCTTCTGGAGAAGGTTGATTTATATGGAATACCTCACACCTCCTGATGAGAAGGCCTGTAGGGGGAATGGAAAGCCTGGGTGTTAATTAATCCTTCTGATCCTCCAGGGGAAAATCCTTTCATTTGAATGAGGGCAGCCATTAACAAGCTCTGCCTTACAAAGGCCCTGCCTACTTTCTGTAAAGTTTGGCGAGTCCAAGGGAAGTATTTGTGGGTGCTGTGGTACCCATGGACACCATGTTGGGGAACCCTGGTGTAGCTAGAACATAACTCTCTCTCACACACACACTCTGGTGTAAAAAAGTTAAATAAGTACCCTAAAACAAACATATTAAGGGGAAAAATTGTGAGCTGAGCGACTGACATACAAGCTCACAAATTGATATATAGACCCCTGGCTATGTTTGTGTGTTTGTACCAGGATTTTCAAGACGGAACTGGGGGGTGTTTAGCTTTCTTGAGTACTATGCATTATTATAGTCTTTGTTTTCCATTGATATCAGTGGGTCACAACAAAGGTCCATTTATTTATTTATTTTTATTTATTTAATTTGTACCCCGCCCTCCCCGCAAAGCAGGCTCAGTCCAGTATACAGTTTCACACAGTGGCCAATATTGTGATACATCCTCAGGCAAGAAACAAAGAGTACAGCCTCCTGTTGTTGATTCCTTGCTCAGCAACTGATGTTCAGATAGGGTTCCCAAGTCCAAAATACCGGTGGGGGAGACTTGGCCGGCTCCGGGAGCTGTTACTGGATGCGCGTGCGTGCCGCCAGCACATCACAGGAAGTGACGTGCAACGTCCACCACGTTGAGGGCATGGCCACAATCGTGGGAGGGAAAACCATAGAGTTTTCCCTCCCTGATCCGGGCCACGCCCCCAACTTGGTCGACGTGCACGTCACTTCCTGTGACGATGTGCTTCGGGGGGCGGAGTTCCCCCTGGGGCCCGATTCCGCGGCGGCGGAAATCGGGCCTCCAAAGCGGGGGTTTACCCGCCCACCCGCCCCCACTTGGCAGCCCTATGTTCAGAGGTGCTTCGCTGCTTGTGAACATGGAGGCTCCGTCATGACTGATAGATGAAAGCAAATTCAGTTTTATCTAAACAAGGGCAATTTGCTTTACAGATTAAATGTAAACAAATTCTTCTGAGATTAATACAAAAGGAATAGTTTGTGCCAGAGGAAGATCTTGTTACAGAAGTTACATGGCAGAACAGAATAGGATAATCAAGCAGATTGTGAGACTGACTAAATATATAGGGAAAGACAGACAAATATGGCTAAATTTAATCCTTCCTTTTAATCACCAGCATTGTTGAATCACTGTAGTAGCTGAGTCACACACTCTTTGCTAATAGCTAAGACTTATTACTTTAATTGGCTACAACAGGAAACTGGAGAGCTAGCCACAGGTTTAGGGATATATTTAGGGATACTTTGCAAGCAGCACAGCTGTGCAGCACAGGGACACCATTTTTTTTAAGGGATCCAGAGAGAGGCTAAGAAATTATAGGCCAGTTAGCTAACATCTGTTCCAGATAAAGTAGTAGAAAGAGTATTAAAGATACAAGCATCATTCAGGTTTATGGAGAAACAAGCCCTACTGAGTATGAATCAGCATGGTTTCTGTGAAGAGAAGTCCAACAGACATTATTGTAATGTCCTAGGTAGATCTGTGCTGTGGCTGTTTTTAGAGTATGCTGTTCTGGTCACCCCATCTCAAAACAGATAGAGCTAGAAAAGTTACAGACAAGAGTAATCAAAATGATCATAGGAGTAGAGCATCTTCTCTCAGAAATGGAGTGGCTTTGAGTCACTTTCTCCAATTTAAAAAGTCAGTCAAAGGTGCATGGCAAAGGTTCGTACAGTGAGAATATTTTTTTCTTCCTTCTTATAATACTAGATCTCAGAGTCACATAATGACATGGATGGACAGTAAATACTGGAGATGCAAAACAAAGTACCAGTCCATACAAATTCAGAATTAGTTTAAGGAATTCACTAGCTTATGCAGCTTTAAAGATCACTAGACAAATTCATGGCATTCACTAGCTGTCAAATGCAAATTTAAATACTGGATGCCATTCTTGATCTGAAATATCACAATGAAAGAACTTCTCCCATTTCTATAAATATGTGAGTTTGGTTTGACAGTAAATTATGATAAGATTCCATCATATTACATTATTGATTAACATGCTTAAAGCATTTTAGAGTATACTTTGCAAGATATTATTTGGCACATGTTTTAAAACCTTACGTTTTAAATTGTAGCTCAGCCATTGTTTTCCCCCCATAATAAATAGATTTCTGTTCAATTAATTCTACCCCCTTTCACCCTTTTTCTTTTACAGTAAATGTAGCTCTTGCATTGGCAGCAAATGATCTGGTAAGTTCATTTATAATTATTATTTTTATATTTGTAAAATTTTGAATAATTGGCTTGTAGCAACAGATATTTTAAAACATTCTGGAGGATGCAGTGTGGCAGTTTAACTTTAAAAATTCTGGTGATATCTATGAGAATTATTAATCAGTTTTTCCAGGATGCTTGCCAAATCGCAGGATTGCTAAATTCTGTGATGATGCGTTTCAAGAAACTGGCCTTTTTCTAGCCAATTCTTGGCTTTTCAAAACTTTAGGTAGAGATGTAAAATTTCCAGAAATTTTGAAGGTCGGAAAAAAACCCCAGTTTTTTTCTGGTTTTTTCCTCGGAAAAAAAAATGGAAATTTTCGGAAAAATTGGGGAAAAAAGCTACATTAGCACTTCTTTTTTCTTTTCCAGATCGAAAGTCATTCTGTTACTTTAGGAACATAAAATATGACTGTAATGATTTCATGTTTAACTGTGTGTATGTGTCTTTAAAAGTTTGGTTGCATGCCTGTGTGATAGTCTAGTGTGATTGAAACAGGCAAGTGGTGTGAGTGGTGAGTGACAGAGAGTGGGAGGGGTTTTGGAAATGATTCTGTGTGGATGAGCAGATATGTCAGTCAAGAGTGTTGGTTAGGGAGATGACAGTTGAAAGTCAGTTAAGTTCTTTGACTGGGAGAAGAGTAAAGCATCCCTGTGTGGGATGAGTTTAGTTCTGGGGTCTGAAGGAGAGACCTTCTTGTGTGTGATATGAGAGTTAAGTGCTGTGTCTGAAAGAAAGTGACAAGCAGTTCTGTGTTGAAGCAGTTATAAGCTGAAGCTGAGTGTCTAGGAAACAGTAAAGATTTTATGGACATGAAGGAAAAAGTGTTACAAAGTTACCTAAGGAAAAATCCCTGTCAGTAGGGAGCAGACTGTGTGTTATACCTACTTTACTAGTTACATGGTTCTACCCTCGTATTTATGCTTTCTTTAAATAAATCCTATTTCATTCAAGTATACCAGCTCTGGAAAGAATCCTTCCTCAGACCACATAGTTCCTCGAAAGCTTAAACCCTCGATCCACCTACCCTGTGATAGAAATAGTAAAGCATAAAGGTTTGGAAAGCCTGGTGGCAGCCGGATACACATAATAAAATAAAACCTAAAGAACACTTTAAAGGGAAACCAGACCTCCCCAGTAAAGGGGTCGTCACAGAGCCCACATCATTGGTGTCATTGGTAGGGCCTCCTTCAGAACCAGCTTGCAGAGCCCTGGGCGCCACTCAGCTTGGGTTATGCCTGAGCCATTTGACCTTTGTCCTTCCCAACTTTCCATTGTCATAGTGTTAAGCTGGAAGTCACATGCTTTCTGGCACTTTACCTCAGGATAGAAATCAGGGGTCGTTTTGTAGAAAAAGAGCTAGGGGAACTCATTAGCATAACTCATTAGCATATGCCACGCCCTCTGACATCAGGGGCCCGGCAGTGAACCTGCAAGGCCGGCGGGAGTGCGTTTTTTCTGAATTTTTCCAGTTTTTTCTCGAGCCTTCACATCTTTAACTTTAGGGCCTAGTAAAATTATAGAAGGCTTCTCTCTGGAACTTAATGACTTGCAGTTTCAAGGGAGATAAGGAATAGAATGGAGTTAGACCCAGGTAGGGATGCCAGACCCCCCGGTGGGGGTGGGGGTCTCCCACTTTCCACCTCCACCTCTCTGCTACTGGCTAACTTGCTGGTGCTGGTGGGGAATTCCCCCCCCCCGAGGGAGGAACACCAGAAATTAATGTGATGTGCCTACGTGACCACCTGTGACACCCAGAAGTGATGTAGTCACATTGTGGATGTGGGGGGGCCAACCCTTTGTTTTTTGGGCAAAACTCTATGGTAGAAGCTAATTCTACTCCATAGTTTTGCCCAAAAACCAGAGTGTCCCCCCCCCGATGTGCCTAAACCACTTCCGGGTCACATAGGCTCATCATGTTAATTTCTAGTGTCCCTTCCCCTCCTGGTAAGTGTACACCCCATCCCCCACCGCCTGCTTCAAGGGATGCGGCAACCTAAGCACAGGTGCAGATGAGATCATAGGGCCTAGGAAATGCAAGGCCAGGGACCAGGAAGGAGTTTTGCCCTCACATTCTATATTGCTAGTACAAGGACTCCTGGGTGGGGCAGGGGGAAGAGTTGCTTGACTTTGAGCATGTACTGCTACAGGAGTGGGTGGTCATATTTCTTGGCAACACCAGAGGTCGATTCGGGGGGGATCGTGGGGGATTGCAGTTCCCCTGGGTGAGGTGCGGGGGGGCGGGGCACATGACGAAGCCCTGCCCCTTGCTTCCGGCTGCCCCTCTTCCGGCCCTCATTCAGGCAGGAGGAGGCAGGAGAAGAGGGAGGGTAAGTTGCTTTCTCCCCGCCTCTCCCCACCCCTGCCTGCCTGGGGCCAGGGAGGGCCTTGGCGGGGCTTCCTCACACTCCCGCCGGCCTTGCAGGTCTACCGCCGGGCATGTCAGGGGGTGTGGCATATGCTAATAAGTTATGCTAATGAGTTCCCCTAGCTCTTTTTCTACGAAACTACCCCTGGGCAACATACCTGATTGGTCAGCCAAAATCAGGCTGGCTACGAGCTCCCGATCGCAGCCAGGACAAATCCGCAAAGTCCTGTGCTCTGGCCTCCTCGCGAAAATGTTTTCTAGTCTGGCACGCAACAAACCCCCTCCACGCTGGCCCTGAGACAAGAGCAGTCTGGCATAAAGGAAGATCATTCATCTAGTTTGTACCCCATTTGGTTATCTCTTCTAGACATCTATCATTTGGTTCATCATTTTGACTGGGTTAGCTGGAATATCTACTCTTGGACTTTGGACTTTGAAATTTTACTTGGAGTCAGTGTTTGGCAGGTAACATCAGAGGACCACCCTAGCTGTCTGAATTTTCTGTTTTCTTCCTTGCTTTGCACTGCTCTTATATGGGTACACTTTTTTCACACTTCTTTTAATAAACTAAAATAATTGCCCTGATCTGTATAGCCCAGGCAAGCCCGATCTCACAAGATAAGCAGGGCTGACCCTGGTCTATGAGAATTTTTTATGGTTCGAGCACCCTGAGACTGGTTGTTCGAGGGAAGTCCGCCCAGCTTCTCAGCGGGGCAGCCGCCGCCCTACCTCTTCCCCAGCGTGACTCCGGCCAGCTTGATCATGACTTCCACACACACACACACACAATACAAAAATAAATAATCAAAAATTAAAATAAGTAATTAAATCACATGGTTAAAACAAATAATTAAATTATTAATTATATTTCTGTGGTGTTATTTGGGTTTTGGGGCTTCAATCTAAAATCAGCACCTTGACCTGTTTTTTGGCTACAGCTACCAAAGTAATTGTTTTTGGAACTGAACTTGCAAGTGTCCTACCATGCAGGGTTGATTTTTTGATTAACATCCAGTAGGGCTGGAGACTCTGTCTTTAGGTTTCTCAGCTGAGGGTTAATTAGAGGGGCTCTTGGTGGCTTGTTACCCTGGACAGTGAGACTTCACTCCCTAGTTTTGTGTCGTGTTTTGCCCTGACCTGTCACTACAACTTGATAATGGGTAATTACTTATGCAAAGTAAATGTATAAATATTTTTAGTGATTTAATCTATCACAAGTTTGATTGCATGTGTGTCTTTTTTTTTAAAAGGCTCACAGCCACAATGTGATTATGTAAGGGAGTGGTGGCGCAAGCAATAACAACGCTTGCCTGTAACATCATAGCGAACAGCCCTATGGCTGTTCGAGACCCACCGCGGCCGGGGTGAGCACCCGGCCCTAGTCCTAGCTCCCGCCCACCCAGCGGTTCGCTTGGGGCTCTTTAGCTTGGAGAAACAACAGCTGAGGGGTGACATGATTGAGGTTTCTAAGATTATGCATGGGATAGAGCAGGTTGAGAAAGAAGTACTTTTCTCCGTTTCTCACAATACCAAACTCGTGGGCACTCAATGAAATTGGTTAGAACAGATAAAAAGAAGTACTTCTTCACCCAGAGAGTGATTACCCGGCCCTAGTCCTAGCTCCCGCCCACCCAGTGGTTCGAAAGTTAAATAAATTACAAGTAGATAAATGGGTACCTACCCTTAGAAGGGTAGGGGGCACCCTCCTCCATGTGGGGACGTGGCGGAGTTCGGTGGCGGCAGCGGCGGCGAGGAGACCAGCAATGGCGGCGGCATCTGTGGCGACGGCGATGATGGCAGCAGTGGTGCGGCGACGCGACACGGCGATCCCTGGTGGCCGAGGGAAACAACTGCGCCCAGTACCCGGTGCCCGTCCGTCGACGGGGGAGGCGGAGCAACAAAGAAACGCACGGCAGTGTGGGTGGCGCAGGCGCAGCGGAGCCGGAGACGGACAGAGCAGAGCCACTCCTCCGCGGGCCACGCGCCGGAAGACCACCGCCGGGGAAGGACTGACACAGGCGCTGGCTGACCCAGAAGACTGCCGAGGAGAAACAGCGAACCCACCCGGGTGCTGGTAGGCATCCCCACCCTTCAATAATGTGGCCATAGAATAGGACCAATCTGCGCTTGCAGCACAATTGTGAACCACTCTGAGACCTTCGGGTCTGAGCGGTATAGAAGCTGACTGTAATAAATAAATAAATAATAAATACATATTTTTTTGCCTTTTTAGGGCAAAGCTCTCAGGCCTGTGGAAACGTTTACTAGTTGCCCTTTCTATGTGTATAACTTCTCCAGATATAATTGAATAATATGGCAGTACTATAATATATGATAATCCTTAGTATTTATGTGGCACATTTTATATATATATGAAGCATTTCACAAATTATATCAACAACAACAATCTTGTAAGGTATGTGAACATTATTACAACTGTATATTATTCCATTGGGTTTCTGAGGCTGAGAAATAACATCTTGTCTAAGGCCACCTAGCAAGTTTGTTTGTGACAGAGATGGCATTTGAACAATGGGCTCCCTGGCTGACAGATCAGTCTCATAGCCAGTAGACTGTGAGGGTGACCTGGAATGTTTCTGGTCGACC